GTAAAGTAACGCATTACTTTTTAATTTACAAGAGAATATCTGAGTTATTTTTTAAAATAAGTAACGCAAGTTACTTTTTTTCCCCCAATTTATTGATCGACGGCTCTCCTGTCCCCATGTTGAGAGAAATCCCATAAAAAGTAACGAAGTAACGTAATTACTTACTTTTTCGTGGAGTAACGCGATATTGTAATGCATTACTTTTAAAAGTAACTTTCCCCAACACTGCTCCTGACAAGCAGCTATGGAGTTTTGTCCTCTCTAGAGAGCATTATTTTTTTAGCGATTTCTCTGAGACCTTACATGTCACAGTTGTAAGTGAAAAGAGCACATTCAGGGCTTTTCAGAGATACCAAATGTTTGAATGTTTCACCTTGATTAAAAATGGCTGACATAAATTTAGTGATCAAATTCAACACCCTTATGAAAATATGATAATATTTTGTAATGATCATTTAAATCTGATACATTTTACAATTGTTTGTCATAAATCAACATCTCAGGAAAATGTTATGGGGTTTCAAATCAAAAATGTGACTTTCTGTTATGAAACAGGACATTGATTTCATACATGTCCCCTGTAGAGGATACCAGGACTAAAAGCATGTTTATTACACATTTTGGGAGACACAACTATAGGGAAATAAATTATATTTCAATATTCCTATGAAATATTAGATATTATTATGAAAATCTTGCCAATTATTACCCCCATTATTACACTTCTTTTTCATAACATGTTGCACCAAAAACAAATTAATATGCAAATTGCATACAGTTCATAGATACATTGTACATAATGGGACAACCCGTTTATGGGCATTTTACGCACATGTTGCATAAAGCAAAATGGTATATCAAATCATTCTGTTATATCTTTCATAACATAGTTGAGAATCATTTTTATACAAAGTTTGGCGTAAAAAATAAAAATGTATTGGAGATTTTTATCTTTTTTAAATCACCGTTTTTGCTTTTTCATGACTATTCATGACTTTATTTTAAAAACAGGACTTTTTAAAGTCCTGGTGTCCTCTACAGAGGACATAGCATAACATTTCTCAAAAAAATTATTTTTGCATTTTTTCTTATGCTCTGAACAATGTAATGACATGAAACAATATTAAATTCAACTTTTTTTCTTCTTCTGGTAGTCAGGAGGATATGTTGAAGAATTACCCATACATGCATACGCTTCACACAAACATTTAGAAAAGATTGAATACATTAAACAAAACATACATTATATACAAACTTTATAAAACATGCCGGTGTTTTCACTTGTTGAACGTTTAAGTCATTCAGTTTGGTTTAAAAACCTTGCAGCCAGGTTTAAAGGAATAATTCACCCAAAAATGGAAATTTGCTGAACTTTACACAACCACTGGCCATCCAAGATTAGGATGAGTTTGTTTTTAAACTTTTGGCCATAATAAAGCTTCCTCCAGTGAAAAAGTCAATCTCCTGTTGTCTCTCACATCAAAATATATTTGTTTAGATATTAGAGCTGTTTTTGCTTGTAAACAGTGATGGGTCTGTGCAGATTTCTTTCCTGATTCACACGAGATGACTTTATCACTGGAGAAAGCAAAATTTTATAGAGAACTCATATTTTAGCTGGAAGAAAACATGTTAATAATGGATTTGTTTCTTACAAACATGCAGCTTTTGGCTTCTCCAGATGTTAACTGATGGACTGGCATGGTGTGGGTTACTTGTGGATTATTGTGATGTTTTTATCAGGACTCTCATTCTGACGGCACCCATTCACTGCAGAGCATCCATTGCTGAGCAATTGATGAAATATTACTTTACTCTGAATCTACATGTTGGATGCCTGAGGGTAAGAACATTTTCATTTTTGGGTGAAATATTCCTTTGAGCTTGCTGAGGTTTCAGTTGCAGGAATGGGAGTTTGTGATTTGAGATGGAACCTATCCCAAAATGTTTATGAAATAATCTTGTGGATGAATAAGAAGAATATGAAATTTCCCTTATGTCTGATCTGAATTTAAAGGTGATTATGCAAATCATCTTACAAATTGATCTAAAATCATATTACATGAAAATTAGTGTGTCTACAGTAACAAAGTGTGTTGCTATAGAGAACTTGTTTTGACTTCTATGGTTCTTTAGACAAACATCTACATAGTGGTGTTTTAAATATAAATAAAGCTGTGTCATTAACGAGTATTTTGGGTTCACTCTGCCCGAACAGCTCTTGAATACAGGGATGCTTACAAATGAGGCTTTGAAACAGCCTTCCTTTCGTTGTATCCCATGGAGCATCTTATCCTACTGACTGAAACTCACACGTTCAACTTGCTGTAGTTGCAGATGCCATTATAGCATATTAATTTTTAATGTATTGTACAAAGAATTGTTCAATATTTCACATCTTCCAGGTCATCGTCTTAAAGTCGGCATGAAACGGAAGGTGTGACAGACTTTACTACCATGTTGTGATGTATTTCCGTGTGAAATGGCTCATTGAATAAGAAAACAGCATGGCTTGGTTTAATCCATCAGTCGTTGACTGGATTGGTAAAAGTGCATGTTGCATATTGTAATAGATCTGAATGCCACGGCAGCACGTGCATCATAAACGTCAAGTGAGTCATGAAAACAAATTAACATTTAGATTTTTTTTATTTATATAATTTAATGCACATATGAATTGTTCACAGTGTGACAACAACATGCATTAAGAAAATAAATGAGGTCAGATTTGATTTCATGCTGACTTTGTCAATTAAGTTTTTTCTTCCCTGTTGTGAAAAAATCAGAGTGAAATGGAACACTGCAGCATTTCATTAAAAAATTGTCAATTTTGATTCCATGGTGACTTTAAGACTGCATGGGCTATGTATGTGTGACAAACCAGTCATCTATGCAGATGAAGCAAATGGCTGCAATATAACAAAGAGTGAAAAATTTAAGGGGGTCTGAATACTTTCCGTACCCACTGTATATCAAATAAACACTTTATTGGGTATAACTGATTTTAAATGTTAAAAAGAAGAACCCTATTTTTAAACTTTGCAATAGGTGTAGAAATGTACAATGTGACAACAACATGCATTAAGAAAATAAATGAGGTCAGATTTGATTTCATGCTGACTTTGTCAATTAAGTTTTTTCTTCCCTGTTGTGAAAAAATCAGAGTGAAATGGAACACTGCAGCATTTCATTAAAAAATTGTCAATTTTGATTCCATGGTGACTTTAAGACTGCATGGGCTATGTATGTGTGACAAACCAGTCATCTATGCAGATGAATACAGACAAATATATCAAATAAACACTTTATTGGGTATAACTGATTTTAAATGTTAAAAAGAAGAACCCTATTTTGAAACTTTGCAATAGGTGTAGAAATGTACAAATAAAGAGTGGAAAGTATAAACAATGTGTAGAGCCTAAATGCATGAATATTGTGTAGTGAACTAGCAGTGCCTCTGTTTGTGCAGAAGCCGACGCAGCACAGAGACTCAAGTCTACGGTGCAGCAGAGTGTGAAATACTGTAGAAGACACTCTAACCAGTGGCAGTTTCAGCTTACATAATCACTCTCACAAATGCACAAACATCTCATCTTATTAAAATGGCTCACTTTCTGCAGCTATATATTGTACAAAGGACACTACAGTCATTTGTCATAGTTTGTTTTGCTAAAGCTGGCAAAACCCCAGAGAGATCCAAGGGCAAAATACAGATAATCCCAATGCAAATAAACATAGCTAACATGTGACACGTGATTCTTGGTATATTCACATGACATAAGTTGGTCTGCTGGGGTGATATATCACATACGGTGGTTTTCTTATAAGGTCAAATGCTGGTATAAAACTGATGGCCTGACAGATGCATTCATAAAAGAATTAAAGGGGATTATGCAGTTCAACAGCAACTAAACAGGAATTTAAACAACATTAGCCTCTGCATCAATAGTTGGCTGTAATTACTGAAATATTTCCTGGTGGATAATAAAACTGGGGGGAAAAGTGACTGTATAACACTGTGCTAACACCTACTCAGAACACCTTAAAGGGGTCATATGATGTTGCTAAAAAGAACATTATTTTGTTGGCGTGTTACAAGCTCTTGGTGCATAAAGAAGATCTGTAAAGTTCAGCTTGTAACACTCCAAAGAGAAAGGAAAACTTGAAATCGCATCATATGACCCCTTTAAAGTTGCTATGAAATGGAAGTAGAGACATCTTTTTTTGTCGTAATGTACATCTGAGCAGTGGATTATCGAAAAAGAAACTTGATGGTTCTATCAATCAGTTGTTGATTGGATGGAGACAAATCTGAATGTGATTTTGTAGTGGATTGTAAAAAAAGGGGTGTGGTTTAAGCAGACTAAATGATTAGAAGTCCGGCATGCATCACCAGAGAGGAGTCTGTCATTTCACCGGAAGATTGAGACATTTAGCACAAATTACCTTTATTCACCTTTATTCACCCCCGGAGCTGTGTGGAGCACTTTTTATGATGGATGGATGCGCTTTATTGGACTTCTTTTGGACTATTGAAAAATAACACCCATTCACTGCCATTATAAAGCTTGGAGGAGGGCATTTTTTAATATAACTCAGATTGTATTCGTCTGAAAGAAGAAATCATATACACCTAGGATGTCTAGAGGGTGAGTAAAACATGGGCTAATTTTCATTTTGGGATGAACTATCCCAATTTAGCTGTGCTCGGTCTTTCTTTACATTGTGTCGAGAACAGAACAAATGACGCGCGCTGATTGTCATGACAAAGGCAAATCGTTCCCATGCAGCATTTAACCTTTTGGCTGCAAATAAATAATGCAAAAAAAAAGCATATATAGTGGAGCTTCAGTGGAAGCCCATGTGACAAGCGCGTTACGTCCGCGGTGATAATGCAATAGTGGATGAAGCGAGCAGCCCCTCTGAAGGACAGCACGCTTTGCTTGGCCAAACCGCGGTGATAATGCAATAGTGGATGAAGCGAGCAGCAGCTCTGAAGGACAGCACGCTCCGCGCTTTGCTTGGCCAAACCAATTCACATCGAAGAACATCCGCAGATGAAATGCATTTGCCTCCAGCGACCCATTTTCTCCTTTCGCTAAACCTCAATGTCCTTCTCCGTTAATGTCACTGGAAGAACGGGCACTGATGTGACACAGTGGATCACGCGCTTTCACATTTATCAGCTCGGACAATATTGTCGCATAATGATGCGCTTCTTTTGATGTCTGCGAAGCTGTCTGAACACGAATATATTTGTCAGTAAGTCTGCTTTCCAGTGGTGCACATTCGATTTCCTGTCTACATACCACCAACTCTCTTCAGTCTGTCTTGATAGAGGAAATTGGGTAAGAAATAGACTGATGCACACACTATAATGGCTTAGAACTGTAATATGTAATAAAGCACAAGTGCAAACGTGTGGAGTGATTGCACAAATATGATATGATTGATAAATTGTACATAATTTAATAATATGTTATTGTTATTACAGCTGTGGACCCAAGTGCTGCTGTGTGTCTTTCTCATTGCTTTCAGTGGTGTTTAACTGATACTGGATTGTTTACGTGTTGTTTTTTGACTGGCTTATATTTTGTGTTTGCAATTTCTACAATATGTTTTTATAAAAGTATAAAAGTGTGGAATCAATGTGTGTTAGTGCGCGTTTGAAACAGAGAAATGCATCTGCATTTGTGTAACAGTGGCATTATTCAGAGGTTGAACAGCCATCGCAAACAGCCTTGCAATTTAATTTGCACGATCAAATATCGAATGATTCAAAAGCTTCTTCGTCCGTCCTCTATTGAAACACACACAGACACAGAAGCAGGTCATAATGCACATTACTGTAAGGTCACCTTCAGCATGTTCTCAGTCTCTAACCTCAGATGTGTAACCATGATTCAAAAGTATTGCAATATTTATATACAACCTCTGATAAAACAACAGTGCACCGTGTGTAGTTAACTCATTTGCAATGATTTGAATTATATTTCACCATGTACAACACAATAAGTACAGTTCACTCGATTGTTATAAGTGATTGAATCGCACCCACTCCCACTAACGTCTAATTTTTCAAGGCTGCATGACTAATAAGCATCTATCTATCTATCTATCTATCTATCTATCTATCGCACGCATCCATTCGTGTGTGTGTGTGTGTGTGTGTGTGTGTGTGTGTGCATATTCAAAAACATACACAATGACTCATTGCATTCAGGGTCTTTGCTAGGTGGAGTCTATATTTTTGTCTCTTTTCCTTTCCTGCTGGTGACATGTTTTGCATTATTCTACACTGATAAGCAAATATCTCCAGTCGTGTGTTTGACTGTAACAGTCTTGTCAATACCGGGAAAGCAGAGCACAGCGAGGTGAAGAGCATGTCGACTGTGCAGAAACATGATATTTGAAAATCCAGGTGTTGTCTCAATATTCTTGCATTTAGTCGGCTTAAGTGTGTTGTTTTCATCGTCACACGGCCTCAGTATGCCTATAGGATCAGACTAATGGGTTTGGATAATTGTGTTTGTATTGTTGAGAGTAATAGTGTAGGGTTTTAATGATTTTAACCCTGTAAAGCCTGCCATATGAAATAAAAGTCTGATTTTATTTTATTTTATTAATAGAACAGAATTCTTTAGAAAAACTATTTTAAAAAAGGTTTGCATATGTTTTATCTTTTGTGTCATGTGTGATACATCAGGCTTTCAGAGGCCCAAACTGAGCTAAATATCCAATTTGGTGCAGATGCGGATATTTATATGATCAAGAAGTAAGATTTTTAATAATCTTTTGTTGTGTTTTAATGAAGTGTACTTATTTTGATCTGTTGACTTAACATACTAAAGCACATTTCAAGTTAATTTATTTAAATGTACTAAATTGCAACTTCATTACAAATGTGTGTAATTACAAATATATTTAAACACAATACACTTTTCAACAGAAATGACATTAAAGTCGGGGATGCACATACGTTTTTAAGTCTGGTTCTCATGAGAGCACCTGGAGATTTGGTTTGGTGCTCACACTGCACATAGTGTGACCCATTCAATATAACAAACAAAAAAAAAACATTAATAATAGTAATATTATTATCATTATTGCAATTTATTTATTTAGGATTTAAAAAATAAATAAATAAATAAAGTGTGATAATACTATTATATTTTAAAATAAAAAGTAAGTATTAAATAAAATACAATTATTTATAGTACACTTAAAATGCAATACTAATATTTACATTTACGTTTTCATTTTCTTTTATTTTTAATAAATTAAAATAAGTTATTAGTATTACAGTTGGTCGATCTATAATGGTGATTGTGTATTAACAGCTGTCAACCATGTCGGTACGCAAATAAGCGGTCTAAACTGATTTACTCAGCACATTTTTTTTGTTTGGTATTATGTGCATCCCTGATTAAAGTACACTATAAGCATATTTCAAAGACAATAAAATTACAAAATAACATATGTACTTTCATTGCACTCTAAAATTCAGCTAACTGCATTTCATATAAATTTAAACTGTAATACAGTGCATTTTCATTTCATTGTAATTAGCATGCAATTAAGTGTCTGAAAACACTTCATATTATTTCTCTACTCTTTTGAAAAGTATGCTAAAGTGCACTTCTTTTTAACAGGGTGCTGCTGTTTACATAATTTCATTCAAACCGTGCATTTGGAAATAAATGGGAATAGTATATGCACATTATATGAGCAGCCTTTATTTTGGCATGCCACTTTTGTTTTTAAATGCCACACTGTGAGGAGAAGTGTAGTTAAACAAGTTAAACATGGTCAAAAAGCACACACTGATTGATCCACTGGTGTGCTACTTTTTGCTAGATAAGGATGGAACCAGAGCAGCAAATTCAAAGCCAGTGCAAGACTAATGATCTGGCATCATCTGCACAACCAAAAGGACCAGCAGATCCATCCTCCACATCTTCTCCTGCCCCTTCTACACCACCGACGGCTCCAGCCAGGCCACGCCGGCCCCAAAGGAGCCCACGAGTGGAAGGATCTATTGACGTATCGGAGCCCAAACCTCCAGAATCTCCTGAAGCGCAGCAGCTGAGCAGCCATGCTGAAGCGACCAAGCCCAACAGCTCCAATCAGCCCTCAGAACTCAGTGTTGATCATGGACCTCCACGTTTGGCTGGACAGAAGCTTTCAGGACACGCTGCAGTGTCTCGGAGCCACATTGCAATGAGGGCCGCCTCGCTTCCTCAGACCCCGTCTTACAGACCACCACTAACTGATCCCACCCTGCACCCGCAGAGGGCCCTGTCTGTCGCTGGCACCACCGACACTCAGACGCAGGTGGTGGAGGATTTCAGGTACGATTTTAACATTGTGCTGTATTGTGGTTTCAGTTTCAACTGGCAATTGCAGTTTCTGGCCAAGAGTGAAAATATTACTTTGAAAATGCTGCATAGGTGCTTAATAGACACTTTTCACTTTTTCAGCTTCTCAAAGTATGCTTATAATATTAAAGGGGTCATATGATGCGATTTCAATTGTTCCTTTCTCTTTGGAGTGTTACAAGCTCTTGGTGCATAAAGAAGATCTGTAAAGTTGCAAAGACTAAAGTCTCAAATCCAAAGAGATATTCTTTATAAAAGTTAAGAGTCAACCACGCCTACCTAAAACGGCTCGTTCTAGCACGCCCCACATGTCTACGTCACGATGTGGGAAGATTTGCTCATGTGGTTGCTGCAAGCCCTCCGGACGCTCCTTCGTCGAATCCGCAGGCCGCACTGTTCTCAAGCCAGCCTCCGCTCACTCTAACCTGCCGTGTGTGACGCTGTGTTTCGTTGTGAAAGCAAAACTACTTTGTTTGGTCTTCCAAAAGAGGACACGACTAGAAATCAGTGGTTAAGTTGTATTTACAACACTGTTCCAGAACAGTTCAACCCAAATATTCAGATGTGTGCAGCGCATTTTATGGAGGACTGTTTCCTGATCCTGGGAGAGTAGACTACAGTGCCGGCTGTTCTGACTCACAGACTGTAAGTATGTTTTTATATTTAAAGAATTTGCCGCTGACGATTCAAACGCGAGTTTTGGGCAGTGTAGAGTAGCACTTGTTAAAAGACAACACGTAAAAAGACAGTATAAGTCATTATAATACCTTAAACCGCATAAACACATTTCATTAAACCAAATACACAAAATAATGTTATTTTTAGCAACATCATATGACCCCTTTAAACCTTTATTGTTGACTTTTTAGTCATTGACTGTGTGTATAAATAGGGCTGGGTGATATGGCCAAAACAATTATCACAATACATGTCAAATCTTGTTTAAAGGCAGAGTTGTAAATGTGAACGAGTGGATCAACAAGAAGATAATGCATTATAAAAATGTAAACAATTAAGACAGTAAAATATATTTATGTTATTTAATTAATATAATTGATTGATAACAATAGTTTAAATGAACAGAATAATTGATACTTTTGACTCTTTTGATTTTCTTAAAATGGTTTAAAGGCTGAAATATGAAGTTAATTATTTTAATATAGTGTCAAATATAATTTCTTCCTGTGATCAAAGCTGAATTTTCAGCATCATTACTCCAGTCTTCAGTGTCACATGATCCTTCAGAAATCATTCTAATATTTGCTGCTCAAGAAACATTACTGATTATTATTATTATCAGTACTGAAAACATTTTTTCAAGATTCTTTGATGAATAGAAAGTTCAAAAGAACAGCATTTATTTGAACTAGAAATCTTTTGTAACTTTATTGTCACTTTTGAACAATTTAATATATCCGAGCTGAATAAAAGTATTCATTTCCTACACTCTAAAAAAAGAACTGACCCCAGACTGTTAACCAGTGTTTTTCTCCACTAACCTGCAGCAGTCCAGTGAGCTTAATCAAATTTTAAATACATTTGGGACGGCGCAAAGAGAAGTGCTTTTCTCCATCAACTTATAAACAGGACCTGCTTGTGTGTGTGTTGCTTCTCTTATTTCAGACTTTTAAATTCATATGCAACACAATGAAATGGTTGAATGAATTCTGTACCTACATTAAAGATAATTAACAATGTTAAACATCATGCAAAATAGTTAATCATTTTAATACAGATAGATAAAGGGGCAAGTTCGTTCTGATCTTCTTAATGTTGGATGAGTGAGTTAATCAGGTCTCACACACACACTGAGTGATAGTTTAGAGTGCTGATACCCTTTACTAGTCTCCTTCAGCCTCCTGTGATTTGTGCTGCAGGCTGATCTGTGCTGAAATAATCGTGTATGTTTACCAGCACCCTGCTTTCTCAGATCAGCTTGGGTTGGATTAAAACCTCATGTTTCATTGATCTTGGAAATTCTGTACTGCAGCGGTGTTCAGAACATCTCTTCTCCTGTCTCTGAATATGGTGTGGATCTTTAAATCTTCTCACAGACACTCATTTGAAAAACTCAATTGGAAAATGGAAATTCGTCATGAAGCTTAGTGCAAGTAGTCAATTTCTTAATATAATAATCTGATGTCACTCTTTCAGTAATAGTACACATAATTTTAACTTGCCTTAGTGAGGTGAGAGATCAAGGCAAGATTAAATCTGAAGCACATGTACTCTCTCACACACTTATTAACCTTTTGAGATATTTAAGAATATAAACAGATGAAAGGAATAATTCACCCAAAAATGAAAGTTTGCTGAAAACGTGCTCACCCTCAGGCCATCGAAGATGTAGATGAGTTTGTTTCTTCATCAGATTTGGAGAAATGTAGCATTGCATCAGTGTCTCAGCAATGGATGCTCTGCAGTGAATGGGTGCCGTCAGAATGAGAGTCCAAACAGCTGATAAAAACATCACAATAATCCACACCACTCCAGTCCATCAGTTAATGCCATGTGAAGTAAATTTAAAAGAAAAAAATGCTGTGTTTGTAAAAAAAAAAGAAGAAAACAAAACAAAACTCATTAATAAGATTTTTAAAGAACTTCAAAACGTTGCTTCTGGCCAAAATATGAGTCTATAATCCATAATAACACTTCCTCCAGTGAAAAAGTCTCTCACATCAAAATCCACACACATATTTGTTTAGAGCTGTTTTGGACTGATTTGGCTTTTGCTGGATATTTGCTGATTTCTCTCTTGATTCAGACAAGATGACTTTTTGACCAGAGAAAGCAATATTATGGATTATGGACTCCATTAAGAAACGTCTTAATGATGGTTTTGTTTGTTACAAACACGCACCTTTTCACTTCACGTGGCATTAACTGATGGACTGGAGTGGTGTGGATTACTTGTGGATTATTGTGATGTTTTTATCAGCTGTTTGGACTCTCATTCTGACGGCACCCATTCACTGCAGAGCATCCATTGCTGAGACACTGATGCAATGCTACATTTCTCCAAACCTGATGAAGAAACAAGCTCATCTACATCTTGGATGGCCTGAGGATGAGTAAAATCTTTTTTTGGGGGTGAACTATTCTTTTGAAATAGATTAGAAAATTATGTAAATGCAAGGCTTCTCTCTCTTTGAAATAAAGGTGGAGTCTAAATAGTGGAGGGATGCTGGTGGAATTATTGAAAAATATACTGAATATTTATATATTCCTAACATTGTTTGGGTCTTCAGTGAGATGATTTACTAATATATTTAACTGCAAAGGAGTGATGTGATGTGACACGACAAAACTAGGTTGCTTTTTTGCGACTGTGCAGTGTTGTGTGTAATTGCCCTGATGATGCTCTCACTCCCTTTTCATTTCTTTAACTTGTTTATTCACTAACATGCCGCAAGGCTACTTATTTGCACACCATCTTTGCATGCTGTTTGTTAATTGAACAGATGAATTCTAGGCCAAACCCACAATCTGTCAGTCTCAACAGTCACAGCTTCATTCTTTCAGTGTCCCAATTAAAGATTTACAAGAGAAAACGCTCACATTTGCCAGTTGCATAGTAATGCTGCTGGATACTGTGCCTACTAACAACCAACAGCAGAGACTTGGCGACTGTCAGTGTGAACACGCGCAACACAAGATGATTGCTGTTCTCTAATGTCTCGTTCTGCCAACAGGGTGCACATTATCACGTGGAACGTGGGCTCAGCCATGCCTCCTGACGACCTCACTTCATTACTGGGGCTGAATGTTGGTGATGGGAACACAGACATGTATATTATAGGGTGAGATTTCCATTGAGAGCCGCCGCTTTTCTAAATGAAAGGTGCTCGGCATGAAAAGTGATCACAGATGCATTTCTAATGTACTTGTAAATGTAAATGTACTGCATACATTTCTCAGAAGATGTCAAGAATTCTAGATTATTATCATTTAAAGAAAAAATTAAATTCAAAGGTTATACTGTTGAATTTTTAAGAAATTAGATTTTTCTATGCCACCATAAGACGTTACATACTCCACCAGTATTCATATTAGTGATCAAAAGGTATTGTTTTCATTCAATCCTGGTACTAATAGTTTTTGGTTGGATATTACAGGGTTGAAGTTCAGTGTTTAAATGGAACATAATGGCCTTAATTAATGATTTCAGTGCACCACACAACATGTTAGTGTTTCATTTTAAAATACCAAGAATCGCTGTGATTTTCTCCCCCCAAAACAGAGTGAAATATTGAGTTTGGCAAGGTCAATGTACTTGTAACCATAATGAAATACAAATGAAGAAACATATGATTGAACTACACTGAAAGTTTGGGGTCTGTAAGATGTTTTTGAAAGAAGTCTCTTACGCTCTTTAAGGCTGCATTTATTAGATCAAAAAATATTTTGAAATATTATTTCAGTTCAAAGTAGCTCTTTTTTTATGTTAATATATTGTAAAATGTAATTTATTTACTAAACTGTATTGCCAGCATCATTACTCCAGTCTTCAGCGTCACATGATCCTTCAGAAATCATTCTAATATGCTGATTTACAGCAAGATTCTATGATGAATGTAAAATAATAATAAAAAACAGTATTTATGTGAAATAGAAATGTAATGTCACTTTTGAGCAATTTAATGCATCCTTGCTGAATAAAAGTATTCATTTCTTTAAAAAGAGACAAAATCTTATGTATGTGGTCAAGAATACTTCATGTAACGGAATTGAAATTGCATGATTCATTTTAGAACAGCTGCACAGACAAGGAAAGCGCAATATTTTAATTTTAATAACAGCAACATATCAGATCATGTGATTTTATGAACTTTGTTCAGTGTCCTATTAATGACATCAGTTGGATCTCAGATCTCAGGCATGACAATAATACACATAATTTTGTGTAGAGCAAGTGTTCATCAGAAGAGATGAGGTTAGTATGTTATAATGCTGTAAAGTGAAGGTCATAATCTAGCACATGACCCACATAAGCACACTAGAGATACAGAAAAATCTACCTTGAGCTCTGTCTTGAGCTCTGTTCTACCTCACCTTTCTGATATTTTCTGTCCTTTCATTTCAGCTTCATCTCCTGTCTGTATTTTCTTGCTCCCTCTCTCAGCTTACAGGAAGTGAACTCTATGATCAACAAACGACTGAAAGATGTTCTTTTCACTGACCAGTGGAGCGAGGTCTGCATGGACGCTCTCAGCCCCTTTGGATATGTACTGGTCAGTAATGTTCCCTTTAAACACGCACACGCACACACACACACACACACACACACACACACACACAGAGAGCCTCAGGGGTCACATTATGTAATAGTGACTGAGTGGCTGAGGATGAAAATCTCTTTGCTGGTCTTTGTCTCTGTCATGCGGCTCATGTTTCGAGACTCCTACCTCATTTTATCCAGCTTTATTTTCTTTGTGGAAAAATAATCCCATATAAAAACAATGTGGCATACTACACATCTTTATTGTTGCATGCAGTATTTAGTATTCGGATATACAGTGTGTATAGAAAAGAATAAGAAGTCTAGATGTGCAGAGTTAGTAGAGCCAAATCCCAACAGACTAAAGGCTGTATTTAAAGCAAAAGTTGGTTCAACAAAATACTGACACAAGGGGTGATCCTTTTTCCAACTCAGTGATTCTGTTTTTTTATTTTTTCTGACATGTTGGTGTTTTATCTTTCACTTGGATGTGTGTGTGTGTGTGTGTGTGTGTGTCATAATTGAAATCACTTCTGCTTAATCACACTGGAAATGGAAGTTCCAATAGAACTCATTGCATTGTATGCTGTATTTTAGTATCATTATACTAATATACTATTACAGTTTTTGTTAATGTTTGTCATTTTTGTCAGTTTTTTTTATGTTGTATATACTGTATAGTTAAGTGTATATGTATAGTTTTTTATGAATTTATTTACTAGTTTTAGTTTATTTAGTTTGGGTTATTGCAGCACTTCAAGTTAAAGTAAAGTAAACAAAAATGAGAAATGTTGCCTGGGCAATTCTTTTATTTGATTTCAGATAACATTTATTTTGTATTTTATTTAGTAATGAAAATGTTTGTTTTTTATGGTTTTAGTTGACTATAATAACCTGATTGTAGAATAACTTCTGATTTATCAATCATGTGAGTTTCAGATTTAGTAATTTTGTTGCATTTGTTTATTTTTTGTTTTATTTTTACATTTCTATTTAGCTTTATTTTTTATTCCAGTTTTACTTTTAGTCATTCTAGTACCTCAACTTAAAACTTATTTTGTTTCAGTTATAGCTGCCAAGGCAACATTTACAACTTTTATATATTTTTTTTAAGTTTGATATTCTAATATTTATACTTTATTTCTGGTTTATTTGAATTAAAAAAAAACTAATTCTAATAGTTAGAGAGCAAGCGATAGGTTCTCAGGTTGTGTGTTTTTATAAACCCGGCTCCATTTCAAGCCAATAAATGAACTGGATGCAGGAAATATGTCCATTTCTTCTAACTTGACTCATATGTGTGTGTGTGTGTGTGTGTGTGTGTGTTTCTCTCTGTCTGAAGGCCACATCTCAGAGGATGCAGGGAATGCTGCTGCTGGTCTTCTCCAAGTACTTTCACCTGCCGTTCCTGAGAGGCATTCAAACACAGAGCACTCGCACCGGCCTCGGCGGGATCTGGGTACGTTATCTGTGCGTAGACCTTTCCATGGCCGCTTCTCCAGGTGCAATCTCATACTTTCTCTTTCTGATGTAAGTGTGCGGTTATTTGCCACGTTTCTGTATCAGAGTCCTTCTCAGCAGATATGTCTACCAGTGAATCCTCATGTGCAGATATGAAAGGTTACAGGAAGCTGTTAACGAGGTTCTGTCAAATATCTCATGCAGTGCTTTACTGAAATATTAATAACGCGCTGATCACCTGATGAATACTGCATGATGAATGGTTACTGCACACCTGTTTCATATTTTGATTAATTAGTTACCATTTCTGTTCTGCTCGTCTGAGTCGAGTTTCGCCTGCAGATTTTAATGGAAAGATCTGCAGAGTTACATTGATTTAAATGCATGGACATCACTAAATTCTGCACATCCACCAACTCTTGTATATGCATTTATTATTATTTTGGCTAATTTGACAATGCCTTCAGTTACCAAAAACACTGTTGCACTTTAAATATTTAACATCTTTTACCATATACAATTCCACAGCATTTTGCATATATTTCTCAACAAATCATTGTAAAAAAAAAAAAAAGGGGGTGTAAATTCCTTGCATGTCCAATTGTAAGTGTGGTGACCAGTGTTATTTAGTATCATTTATATACTAATGCAGTTTTTGTTAATATTTTCTGTTTTCATTTTAATTTCAGTTAAAGATTTATTAATTTTGTTGTGTGTCATTTTTATTAGTCATTATTTTATTTATCTTACTTTTGTATGAAACAAGTTTTTGGTAACACTTTGCTGGGAAGCCTTTATGTATAATGCATTATAAAGGTATTCATAATGTATGTTGCAATGCATTACATATTTTCATAAATAATTGTAACCAAAGTTAAAATATGCATGACAATATTTGAAGGTTTGTCATGTGTTTTACTTTCTAAAAGTCTAAAAATGAATAGATATATGGTATTATAACTGTGGTTACAATAATTCATGAGATCATACGATGCATTATAAGGTGCATTACAAGGCATAATGAATGCATTAAAACTACTTTTATAATGCATTATATATAAAGGCTTTAAATAAAGTGTTACCAAGTTGAATTTATTTTATTTTATTATTTTAAGTAATGATTTTTATTTATTTATTTATTTGTATTTTTTTGGTTTTAGTGTTAGTTTTAGGGTAAAACCCCTGGTCTGAGACACAGCATGACATGTCAACGATAATTAAAAGTGAGCTGATCAACCATGTCTTCACTCTTATTAGGTTCAGGGGGAAAAAGTCTTATCAAGAAAGAGTTTAGAACTGTTTAGAATTTCTGAGGTGATCAGGACTTCATGAGAAAAATGAACTGATCTCTGCAGGGAAATAAAGGAGGCGTCAGCGCTCGCATGAATGTGTTCGGCCATTCAATCTGTTTCTTGAACTGTCATCTGCCCGCACACATGGAGAACTCAGACCAGCGCATGGAGGACTTCGAAAGCATCCTGCAGCAGCAGCAGTTCGAAGGACTCTCTTTCTCTCTCTCACACACACACACACACACACACTATACGATTTACAAAGTATAAACACATTATTGTTATTACTGCACCCATATTTAATTCCCATCAGGGCCTTACAAAGAAAGTGTAACTAAGTGAGCCACAATTTGCACATTTATTATAATTCATAATTATTTATCTCACCAACAGATGGTGCCGTTGTATTAGTTTCCCTCAGGGATGAGTTGCTTCTCAACTGCTTTTGCTTCTGGTCCCAGATTTTATATTAGACATACAGTTTTCTGTATGTCTAGTTAGATTTGTTTTTGCAAAATTAAAATAAAAGAACATGTCCCTACAATAAAACATTTATTTATTTAGACAAAGCTAACCATGTCTAATTCTGCTCATGCTTTTCTTGTCATTAAATTAATTTACTACAAAACACTGTAGTTGGAAATGTTACTTTCTGGCGAATTTGCATCTCATTCGTATGTTATTGTACCATGTGCTCATGCTCTACTGATGGTTAGATCTATTTATATTTTTACATGAATCAAATTGTACAAATGCATTTTAAATTGACAATTTGTAAGATCTGTTGTGTTTTCTAATGAGATTATGTTAGTAGAGTTTGCTATGATTATATGACCAATCAATGCAATTTATTGGCCATATGACCTTGAAACTAATATTGAAATCTGTACGATGTGACTCGTGGATAAATGTTTGCAGTATGGTTTTCTGGTTTGGAGACCTGAACTTCCGAATCGACGACCTGGATATGCAAGTTGTGAAAGCAGCCATTGACAGTAACAAACTGTCCACATTATGGGAAAAAGACCAGGTGAGTCCCTCTAACTGTCAAAGATCATGTTTTTACAGATAATAACATTGTCAATATTATGAAAATATGAAATGCTTTTGAAGAAGGAGTGACTGTTTTGTACAAGGCGTTTAGGTACCTTTTAGTTTAGCTCGAGACATTGACAAAACACAATGCATTATAAATATGTTTGTTTAATCTATATATTTCCCTGTGCTAGTATAGTGACACTAAATGTAGAGTTGTTCTCTTTGTCCTGCAGCTGAATATGGCTAAAGACAGTGAGACTGTGCTCGAAGGCTTTCACGAGGGCCCGATTAAATTCCCTCCTACGTATAAGTTTGATGTGGGTACAGACACGTATGATACCAGGTAAAGGAAATTTCATACTTTTAGATCCATACATTTTTCATTTGAATCAAATCATGCTTCTAAACAGATTCAGATGGACTAAAAATAGTTAAGGATTTGTAAAGGGTTAATTTGTTTTGCATACATACAGTACACTCACGTCAAGCAATATACTGTATACTATATAGCAGATTCCAGTCTTATTTTTTATTTAATCACAAAAAGTAACTATTATATCAGAGAGTTCTTTATATAAAATTGGATATATAAGTGTCCAACTTCCGCACATAGTACACTCATGTAGGGTCATATACCCACTGTATATATATATATATATATATATATATATATATCTCTATATCTATCAAATTTCAACTGCTTGATTACTTTTATTGTCACAAAATGCAGCTATATTATCATCCATCTGCTAAATGCGACTATAAGGCATGAAGATATTATTAACATTAACATAACACTGAAACAGTGTGTATTGTGAAAAACATTACATACATAAATTGGACTTCACTTTATATATATATTTTTAGTATATTTTTTATATTATGTAATATTTTTCACATATTTTTAGTATATTTTCTTCCACCACAACAACCTTATGTAATTTTAAAATTTCACAGCCATTTTTCAAGTGGGGAGGGAGTTATGAGTCTTATTGTACAGTAATCTGATTTCATTCTAAATTATCAAGTAAAATTCAGTATTGCATTGTATGTGCCCTAAGAGAATATATGCTGCTATTCCTGCAAATTTATAGCATTCAGTTCCTGCAATGCTACTATTATTATTGCGGTTGCACTTTATTTTCAGGTCCACGTCTATTAACTATGACTTTTGCCTCAATAAACTCCTAATTTGCTGCTTATTAATAGTTAAGGTAGTTGTTAAGTTTAGGTATGGGGTGAATTAAGGGATCTAGAATACGGTCATGCAGAATAAGGCATTAATATGTGCTTTATAAGTGCTAATAAACACCCAATATGATAGTTATACTGTATGCATGCTAATAAGCAACTAGTTAATAGTGAGAATTGGTCCTTAAGTGTTACCATTGTTGCATTGTTACTTAAGTGAATCTTTTTTCTTTCTTAGTGGTAAGAAGCGTAAGCCAGCATGGACTGATCGCATACTTTGGCGGTTGAGGCCGATGGCTCAGGTCAGCAACAGCATGTCGAGGCGCAGCTCGTTGTCAGGTCTAACCAGCGGAACCTGTGTGTCACAGCATTTTTACCGCAGTCACATGGAGTACACCGTCAGTGACCACAAGCCCGTCTCCTCTATTTTCACTCTGCAGGTCAGCACACTAACATGGTTCTAAACTAGTTCCTTTTTTTGGGTAATCTGAAATATCGAGAGATTGTTTACGGTGGTCAGAAGAGAGAAAGAAATTTGCTGAAAATGTCCTCGCCCTCAGGCCATCCATGATGTAGATGAGTTTGTTTCTTCATCAGATTTGCATCACTTGCTCAGCAATGGATGCTCTGCAGTGAATGGGTGCCGTCAGAATGAGAGTCCAAACAGCTGATAAAAACATCACAATAATCCACACCACTCCAGTCCATCAGTTAATGCCACGTGAAGTGAAAAGCTGCGTGTTTGTAACAAACAAAACCATCATTAAGACGTTTAAACTTCAAACCTATGCTTCCAGCTAAAATACTAGTTCTCTATCCATAATATTGCTTTCTACAGTGATCAGTGCTTTCGTCTGAATCAGGAGAGAAATCTGCACACACCGTTTACAAGCCAAATCAGTCCAAAACAGAGCTAAACAAATATGTGGGTGGATTTTGACGTGAGAGACAACAGGAGATGGACTTTTTCACTGGAGGAAGCGTTATTAGTCAAGTCAAGCTTTATTAAGATCTCTTACGGGCAATTTGGATGCAGTGAAACAGACATGTCTCATTCTGACGGCACCCATTCACTGCAGAGGATCCATTGCTGAGCAATTTCTCCAAATCTGATAAAGAAACAAACTCATCTACATCTTGGATGGCCTGAGGGTGAGCACATTTTCAGCTAATTTTCATTTTTAGGTGAACTATTTCTTTAACGCCAAGTTACACATACTCTAGGATAGTGTTATAAATGTACTAGGTTGCTGTTTCACCTGTCATGAATGTATACACTTATTGAGAGCAACTTTAATGGTGGGTTTGTGCAATGTGTTTAACGTGATGTTCCTTGCAGTTCCCATATAAGGTGGACATGCCTTTGGTAACACTCTTTGTGGAGGATGAATGGAGAGAGATATCAGATGCAGTGGCCAATTTCAAGGCGGCACCCAACTTTCCTCGAAGCTCTTGGGACTGGATTGGACTTTACAAGGTTATTTCAATAATTTCATCATTTCTGAGCATCTACATGTCGGAGTAAGATGGTAAATGTAGCGATACAGATATAATTTTTGTCACTCGAGTTGTGTTTATATGTACAAAAATGTATATTCACAGGTTGGGTTTAAACATCATAAAGACTATGCGAGTTACGTTTGGGCCAAGCAGGAAGAGTCTGATTTCCTGAGACAGGAGCACCAAGTAAGGGCAAATCATACATTTAGTTGCACAAAAAAGACATTCACTTGTGTAAGTAAGTCAAATATCGAAGCTTGTGAATTTTACTGAGGAGTTTTTGATTTGGACTCTCCAGGTGATTTTTACCGAGGAAGAATTGCCAAAGGATTCAGGGGACTTCATACTGGGTTATTATAGCAACAATATGAGCTCCATTGTGGGCGTCACCGAGCCATTCCAGGTACACAATCTCTTTAGCTTTTAACTCCAGCATGTACTAGCTATGCACCATAAAACTCTTCTCATTGAAACTATTAAATGTATTTCCGTAAACTGAAATAAAGCTAAAATAAAATATAAATATTAGATTTAAAATGAGGTTAAAAGGCTTTAAAAAATTGTAAATGACAGCTAACTGAAATAAAATAAGATGAAGCCCATAAAATGCAAAAATTACTTTTTTTTGTAATTATTAGTAAATGTTATTTAAGATGAACACGTACTGGACTTAAGCAACTTAGGTTTACTTGATTACCCATACATCATTTTTAGAAATGATGTTCAAATTTCAGTATCAATTATCAGGCTTTTGAGGAAAGTGTATTTGTTCATATTTCAATCATCATTGTATTGCATATAAAAATATAGGCAAGACATGTTACTGGGAGATATAGAGTGAGAAATCAGCATCGGCACCGAATTACATATTCATGCTCAGTTTGGACCTCTGAATAAAATTGAGGTGTTTTTTCCTCCTCAAGTCTGAGCTCCAGATTCTCACTATATCATACTATTTGAGCCATAAAAGCCTGATATGATATTTTTTAGATTTTTTTTTTTCTAAAATTCATCTTTAATAAAATGTTCCATTTAAAAAAAGTACGATTTTTCGGACTATTATTTCATATGTCATGCTTTACAGGGTTAAGTAAGTACTAAAATTGCTAAAACTGAAATAAAAAATAAAAGCTAAATAGAATTATAAAAAAAAAATTATAAAAGTGCACAAAAAATAAACTAAAATTAACACTTTCCCTGCCAGCATTTTTTTTAAAGTTTCAAGCCACCGCCAGCATTTTTGATAATTTTCACAAAACTTTCATGGCCTCCGGAATATAAATATATATCGTTGTATGAATATCTGAACCTGTCAAAAGAAAGAACAGAGCCTCTGCTTAAAAAAAAAAAGTTTTATTCTAGCTTCATGCATTATTTTTTTTATCAACACTTGAATATGGGTAAGTTTCATGAAAAAAAAAAAACATTTAGAACAAAAAGACTACATCTAGATCAGATTCAGAACGCTGATCAAAACATGGAGTAGGTTGAGTCCATCAGCACCCGAAAGCTTCACAGTCCTAAACCACTTCCCTGACCGACATTTCATTCTGTAACGTTAGGCAGTTTTGATTTATATGCTGTCTCATGTTTGATGATCACGTTATTTTACATATGAATCTGCTTACATACATGATCGCTTGTTTCTTATTCACCTGTGTTTCAATCCGAAGATTCATTCCTCTTTCCAAAGATCCTACCATATAATAGTGAAAACATGGAAAGCTGGGAAATTCTGTCAGTGGCAGGGGAAAG